TTCTTCAATGAACAGTGCAAAGAAATAGAAGAAAACAATAGAATAGGGAGGACCAGAGATTTCTTCAAGAAAATTGGAGATATGAAGGGAACATTTCATGCGAAGATGGGCATGATAAAGGACCAAAAGGGCAGGGACCTAACAGAAGCAGAAGAGATTAAGAAGAGGTGGCAAGATTACACAGAAGAACTATACAAAAAAGAGCTTAACGTCCCTGATAACCACGATGGGGTGGTCACTGACCTCAAGCCAGACATCCTGGAATGTGAAGTCAAATGGGCCTTAGGAAGTCTGAACAACAGCAAAGCTAGTGGAGGTGACAGTACTCCAGCAGAGCTGTTCATATCTTAAAAGACGATGCAGTAAAAGTGCTACACTCAATATGCCAGCAAATTTGGAAAACTCAACAGTGGCCACAGGATTGGAAAAGGACAGTTTACATTCCTATCCCAAAGAAGGCCAATGCCAAAGAATGCTCAAACTGCTGCACCATTGCACTCATTTCACATGCTAGCCAAGTGGTGCTCGAAATCCTACAAGCTAGGCTGCAGCAGAGAACTACCAGAAGTACAGGCAGCGTTTCGAAGAGGCAGAGGAATGAGAGATCAAATTGCCAACATACTCTGGATTATGGAGAAAGCTAGGGAGTTCCAGAAAAACATCTACTTCTGCTTCATTGAATGTGCTAAAGCCTTTGATTGTGTGAATCACAACAAACTGTGGCAAGTTCTTAAAGAGATGGGAGTACCAGTCCATTTTATTTGTCTCTTGAGAACCCTATATGTGGGTCAAGAAGCAACATTAAGAACTGGACACGGAACCACTGATTGGTTCAAAATTGGGAAAGGAGTTCGGCAAGGCTGTATACTGTCGCCCTACCTATTTAACTTATATGCAGGGCACATCATGAGAAAGGTGGGGCTAGATGAAACAGCAGTTGGAATTAAGATTGCTGGGAGAAATATTAACAACCTCTGATATGCAGATAATACCACTCTAATGGCAGAAAGTGAAGGGGAACTAAAGAGCCTTTTGATGTGGGTGAAGGAGGAGAGTGCAAAAGTTGGCTTGAAACGCAACATTAAGAAAACTAAGATTGTAGCATCTGGTCCTCTCACTTCCTGGCAAATAGATGGGGAAGAAATGGAGGTAGTGACCGATTTTATTTTCCTGGGCTCCAAGATCGCCTCATACAGGGACTGCAGCCAAGAAATTAAAAGACGCTTGCTCCTTGGGAGGAAAGCTATGGCAAATCTAGACAGCATACTAAAAAGCAGAGACATCACCCTGCCAACAAAAGTGCGTATAGTCAAGGCTATGTTTTTCCCAGTTGCAATGTATGGCTGTGAAAGCTGGACCATAAGGAAGGCTGAGCACCAAAGGACTGAGGCCTTTGAATTGTGGTGCTGGAGAAGATTCCTGCGAGTCCCTTGGACCGCAAGGCTATCAAACTGGTCAGTCCTAGAGGAGATCAACCGTGACTGCCCTTTAGAAGGCCAAATCCTGAAGATGAAACTCAAATACTCTGGCCATCTAATAGGAAGGAAGGACTGATGCTGGGAACAATAGATGGCAAAAGAAGAAGGGGATGGCAGAGGATGAGGTGTCTAAATGGAGTCACTGAAGCAGTCAGCGTGAGCTTAAGTGGACTCTAGGGGATGGTGGAGGACAGGAAGGCCTGGAGGAATGTTGTCCATGGAGTCACAATGGGTCGGACACAACTTCATGACTAACAACAACATGTTCAGAGTAAGAAGAACAAAGTTGCATAGGTGTACTGCTTGGGAAGATGATAAAGTGATGATGGCAAATGAAGATAAAACTTCATTTACCCATCTCTTACTTTGCTTCTCTAGTCTCTCATGAGGGGAACTGTGTTCACCCTGGAAAAGGTAGAATGATGGCTCAGCATGATCAAACAACCCACAGTGTTGATCAAAACGAAATAGGAATGCTGTGGTAGGAATCAACTCACTCATAGCAATCAATGCATTTTTTAAAAGATGTTCATGGACCAACTGCTTAATAATCTGGTATATGATTCTAGTCGCTAGTTTCACAGACTTGTCTCCTCTGCTATAATGTAGAGACAGTATTTGTCTATCTCTGGTCTCTTGCTTCTGTGTCCACTCTCTAGGGAGACCTAAAGGTTCCAGAAAGTAGCTTTGAAATTAGGTCTGCCAGGACCTTTGGCACTCATAACCCTTAGAGAATTGATTTCTGTTATAGTGTCCTGAGTTATATGTAATACTAATATGTATGAGTATGGACAATCAATCCTGGTGTGGCACATTTCTGCTTTTTTAAAACAAGGAACTGCTGGATTGATGTTATTGTTTTATATTTTTTTACTGTGAAATTTTAACCGAAGAAGTCAAATACAGACAAGCTACTTACCAGTGAATTCTGTAATGAGACTGTTTAATTAGGTGGATTGTACTCTGTATGTATTTTGGGACCTTAATCTCAAAACAACAACTGAAAATTAGAAACATAGAGTGAATCAGAAGGGGTCTCCTGGGCCATCTAGTCTGACCCCTGGCTCCAGCCAGGATACAGTTCTTGCATTCTCTGAGTATATATCTCTGAAGCTGCAATTGTGTAATACTTTAGTAGGGAGTAAGTTCTTTTGAAATCAGTAAAACATAGTTTGGTTTACATGCAAACAGTCCTAGGTTCAATTCCTGGCATCTTCTCCAGGTGGAGCTAGGAAAGAATGTTGCCTGAAACCTCAGAGCACGCGCCTTTGCTGCCATTCAGTGTCGACAGAACTGAGCTAAATGGACCAAGGGGGAACACAGTATAAGGCAGCTTTGCAGATTCCTAGATGTGTAAAGGATTGTGCTGTCTGATGCTTGAAGTCCACATTATAAAATACTGTGAATCCTTAATGATTGACATTCTTACAAGATCTTGATTTGCATGTAAATATTGATTAAAAGCAGAATGCCTGCATGTTCTTTAAAATATGTTCCATGCAGTGGGGTGGAGGTAGTAGGAAAACCTGAACAAGCATTGAAAGATGGAGACTTCTTAGACAGATGCTATATTTCATTTTCTGGATAATTTAAAATCAGTTCCTACATACGTATTACTTTGAAATAAATTCCAGAATTCCACTCAAATTCCATTGAGTAAATACTGATAGGCTAGGGCTATGATCTTGTATGCACTAACCTAGGAATAAAACACAACAAGACTTATTTCCAAGTAAACTTGGTATAAGACTGTTAGTTTATGCAATTCATGAAACATTCTTAAAACTGTATGTAGAAGAAAATAATTTATCTGGAGCTGACCTTCATAGTGCGTATTTCTCATGACCTAACAGCGGGGGTAGTCCTGTTTGTGTACCTAGAAAGGAGCCCAAACTGGGCCTGGCCTTGGCAATGGGCTAGATGAGATGAGAGCGGAGGCTCAGTCCAGACAAAACTGAAGGTCTGCTAGAGGCTGGATTCTTTTGTCAGGTGGGGAAAATGCAACTGAGAAAGTTACAGTGTCCCTGAAGGACCAGGTATGCGACTGGGGTAACTCCTGAATTGTTGCTTAGGTGTCTTGCATGGCATGAAGTGCCTTCTCCCAGCTTTGGCTTGCCGCCAAGCTGTGACTCTGTCTGGATGGGGATACCTGGCAGCATATTAAGTCTGGCCCTGGCTTGTCTGTGCTGGCTGCCCATTTTTCCAGGTTGAATTCAAAGTGTTAACTTAAATGTCTTGGGGTCACAATACTTCAAGGACCCTTTCTCCTCTTTTAAACCTGCCTGTTCCCTGAGGCTGGCTTCAGAGGTCTTTGCTGTGTTTCCCCACCAGAGAAGACTTTTCCTGTGTTGCCCATGTGTTTACAAATCTATCTGCAGGGAAGCTCACTTTCCACAGGTGCCATGCACCATGTGCTTTTATTCCTAGGCATCTCGACATTAGACATGGCCCAGTTGTTGTGGGATGCTTCTGTGGTATTGATTCTGTGCTATGAAGGAGCAGGGAAGGTGTATAAATTGTAAATGAAAACTGTATTGCCTTGTTTTTGTTTCTGCTTTTATGGTGCTGTTTTTTATTTGTATTGTGCTGATTATTACTTATATTGATTTTTGTTTTTTTTCCTGTTAATTATGGATTTCTGCTTTCTGCAAAGGGAAGCTATGTGTGCATTTAATAAATGCTATATTATTGATAAGTAGGATTATATTTAAATAGCCAATTCCTACACAGACCTATTTGTAGGAAATAATTTGACCCATCGCATAATGCTATTTCTTCTTATTGATCTTAATTTTTACTTTTTGTGTTAAATGTGTGTTGAGAGAATGCTTTGTGCAATATATGTTGAGGTACAGAGGTAACAGCCAAATTCTAAGCTGTATGGCTTAGGTCTACAATACTTCAAGGACATTTTCTCTTCTTTTGAGCCTACCTGTTCCCTGAGCTGAAGTGTTTGTAGCATTAACTTTAAAAATTGCCCAGGCAGAAAATCCAGACAGGTTAATTTAAACCCTATTTTCTTTGTGCCTGTAATGCTTTAGGAAACAACAGGGAGGGGGCTGTTCAAAGAGCTGGACACTGGGGCTTGAGAAGAATAAGACATCTTTGCATATTCTGATTTGCTGTTTAGTTGCCTTTAGGAGCATGTGCAGTGCTGGTATTGTTGTTTAAAATGAAAATTAAATACAATTTTGATGGCTAAAGTCAGTAGCCATAGGAATTAGCACTGGCAGTTTAAACAGCAGCAGCGCAAGTACCCTGGTGTACCTGAGAATGGAGTGTAACAAAAACAAGACTCCCTACATGATGGCAGCAGGCTAATAATACCAGGAACAGATTTATTAGTCTCATAGGGTGAAATATCATGAACTTAATGGCTGCTTCTTGGAAAAAGTGATGGAAGAAGGTGATGTTAGCAAGGGGCGGCTTCTCTATTTTCAGCTAAGGACATAATTTGAAGGAGTAGAAAGCATGTTTCCAGAAATGACCTCCCAATGTTTTAAAACTGTTTTCTTTTTCCAGATGTGTTTGTAAATGTATATCAAGCAGGTAGCCAAGAATGAAGAAAGCAAGCCGGAGCGTTAGTTCAGCACCCAAAGTGCCTGGGATAAATAAAATACAACCCATGGAAAAAGTCAAATCAGAGACCAATTCCACAGTATCTTCAATAACAAAACTTTCAAAAACGGGGACAGCAGTGTCATTATTGAAGGTATCTTGTTGCTTTTTCTTAATAAAACTGTTGGGCAGTTTAGCTGTTGGGTGGACAAAATCTGCAACGTGTCAGTTAAATGTTGCTGCATAGGTTTGGGCGCCAGTTTGTGGCCCATCATAGTTCGAGGGCTATGTCAAAATGCAGGAGCAATATCCTGAAACCTTTTTGTCAGTTCAGAGACTCAGATATGACTTTAAACTACACTGAAATTGACAGGCTATGTAAGGCAAATATCCATCTGTATTGACAGCTTTTGTTTTTACTATTATTATTGATATTGTAGAATTGGAAAAGGTGCAAGAAAGGGCAACTCCCCTGTGTGCAGTTAAAACCTGATGGCCCTGATCAGGACTTTAAAAACCAATGGCCTGTCAGGGACTCACAGGAGAGGATGGGCACCCAGCCTGCTGCACTCCTGCTTCTTCCATTTGGCTTCTTTGTGGGATGTGCAACATCAAATGTGAGCTCAGACGTCTGGGTTACTTGACCCCTAAACATCTTAGTAGTCTAGGTTTGTGCATCATTCTACAATAATTGTGAAGGAGCCAGTCGTGGGTTGTACAGTAAAGCTGTAGGGTGCTACGTAACTGCTCTCCCTCTCATATGCATTGACTTCAGTTTTTGCCATGCTGTGAATCAGATCACTGACTAAGGAGTGTGCCAAAAATAGTATAAATAAATGCCATTCAACTTGGAGGCATTCACTACATCTTATGGCAGTGAATTCCATAATTTAAGAAGGACTCCATAAGAAGTCTACCCTTCTCTGTTCCCAAATCTCTCACCACTCAGCTTTGTTGGATAACCCACCAGGACCTATTATTTTGAGAAAGGAAGAAAAATACTCCTTATCCACTTTCCCCATAATTGCAGACTTCTGTATAGAATGGGGCCAAATGGACAAAACAAGCCACTGTCCCTGGTGCATGCCATTTCCCTAATTGTCCACGTGGGCACGCCTTGTTATGTCACTGCTACCTGTACGTCTTTGCTTGTCCATTTTGTATGAAAAACAGAAATAAGCTCCTTCTAGAATACCAGAATGGAAAGTCCTAGAGCAGAGATGACATAGTTAGCATGCAGTGAATGAGCTCAGTTCTTCTTTTTCCCATGGCTTCCTTATTGGTGTAGCAGGAAAGTTCAGGCATGCCTTGTAGGCACTGATAGGTACCTATAATAGGCAGCACCCCTCCTTTGGAATGACCTCTCTAGGCCAAAGAGCCTGGCATGCACCTTTATACTTTTTAGGTGATGAGTGAAAATTTTCTTATTTCCCCAAACCTGAGTTTTATTGCTACTTTTGATGTTGTGTTACCTGGTGTTTCCTTGTTTTACTATTAATATGCTTTATTGTTTTAAATAAAGGTGACATTCAGCTGCTGGGTACAAAATTGTGGATGTGCTGTGAGGTGATGATTTATCAGTAGCCCCTTCTTATAGGACCTAACAGGCATCTTTGTGATGCCTTGTCTATCAGTTTTTTCTGCCTTTGTAACATACAAGGGGTATTGAAGCATTCCAGAATGGAACTGGCCAGCTTGTATAGGGTGAGTCAAAAATTATCCTCACTCTGGCTGTAGAATTTATTTTAATTTACTTTTCGAAAAGACAAATAGATCATTTTTTGGCACAATCTACTTACTTTTCAATACACTTTGTCCATCTGTCAACAAGCTTCCGTATTCCCTCATTTTTTTTAAAAAAATATTTATTTATTTATTTATTAAAACATTTTTATGCCGCCCCATTCGCCGAAGTCTCGGGGCAGCTTACAACAATAAGTTAAAAAATAATTATAACATTAAATTTAAAAAATATAAACATTAAGTTAAAAATACAAAAATACCAATATAAAATAAGCCGCCCTGGCCAGATAAAATCCAATAATATTAACAATTAAAATGCCGCTTAAATAAAATGCACTGCATCAGAAGTGAATCGTCATCCTTGTAGGGTTGGTTTCAGGGGACCAAACAGGTGAAAGTTCAATGAAGCAAGATCAGGACTATAGGGAGGATGCTTTAACGCCTCAAAATGAAGTTTTTGCAGAGTGTTGGCAGTGTGGACAGAAGTGGGCAGACTTGCATTGTCATGCAAGATCACAACGCCCTTGGATAGCAGTCCTCTGCGTTCAATCCAAAGATTAGGCTTCAGCTCTTCAATAAGCATCTCACTGTAACGAGCACTGTTGATTGTAGAACCCCTTTCCTGATAATGTTCCAATACTGGCCCTTGAAAATCCCAGAAAACTGTAAGCATCAATTGTCCAGCTGATGGTTGACTTTTCAACTTTTTCTTGGTCAACAATTGAGGATGTTTCCATTCCATACTCTGCTGTTTACTCTCAGGCTTGTAGTGATGAATCCATCACTTGCCACCAGTAATGATTCTCTTTAAGATACTTTCACCTTCCTTAGAGTACCAGTCCCAATTTTGTTTGCAGAAATCCAGACGCTTCTGTTTATGCTCTTCTGTGAGTTGTTTCGGTACCCATTTCACACAAACTTTTTGAAATCTAAGGCTGTCATGGATTATTTCATAGGCAGAGCCATGGCTGATTTGCAAATGATCTGTCACATAATCCACTGTCGCTCATCTGTTCAACAGAATCATTTCACGTGTGCGCTCAGTGTTGTCGTCTGCCATGGACAGGCATCCAGCTCCTTGATGGCTAACACTTGTGCGACCTTCCTTGAACTTGCCTATTCATGCACACTTCTTCATGAAAAAACACTTTCTCCATGCCACACACAAAGTCTTTGATAAATAAAACCCTCAGATCACAAAAAATGAATCACTGCACAGTGCTCTTCTTTCATGCAAATCACAAGTGGGGCATCCATTTTTGCTCGTACTACAGTTACGAATGAACTGATGTAACATGTTCACACTTGCGCAGCAGTGACTGGGAAAGCACTTGAATGAAAAGCACTGATAAGACATTGCGGCCAACAGAAGTTTTACGATACACGTAACTGGAGTGTGGATAATTTTTGACTCGCCCTCAATGCATTTATATTTTGTACATTCACATGTCAGGCATCCTTAGGTACAGATTAGCCAGTAATGATCATAGCATATTTTCCTCTTAAGAAGTGGCTGAGGGTTTTTTTTTAATGGTAGGGTCATGTCCCAAAACGAAACAGCATTAGCAAGTGACTCGTATTAGCACCCTGTCATTATGTGAGCTGTGGAATGACAGTCCAGTTAAGTCTCCATTACAGTAGGAATTCTATATACCCTTCAGAAGTGTTGCTTGTGAATATTTGATTCCATTTTGTGAAGTTTGACACTTTAAAAGGGGTATCGTGTGTGGTTTTTAATGTATTACACATTGGGAAAGACATTTTCACTAAGGAGGTTTCACCTCATCTCTTAGGACCCTTGCTGGTAACAACCACAAAACATGGCAAGTATTAACAGGACCTGTTCCCCTTTTCCTGCCCTCTCCCACCCTGGCAACTATTTTGAAGAAAGATAATGGTGAAAAGTATTTTAAAGGTTTATTTTAAAATAAAGCCCTGTGCTTGTACAATTTTTCCAAGACAGAAAAATAACTAACCATGTAACATAGATGCATGGTTAATGCTAGGGCATGAAAATTATGAATGGTGATTAATATGCATTCATCTACAGCAGGGTGGTCTAACTTTTAGTACCTTGAGGGCCATGTGAGGGTTTAAACATGGAACCCGGGGGCTGCCCAATGAATTACATTTCCATATCATAAATAAAAATATTCACAATGTATTTATTTAATTTAATATACACAATTTTTGCAGTAAAAACCTTTATGTTAAAGCTGATCATCTTTGTGTTACAAAAGAATATTGTAGAAGTCAATAAAAGGCAGGAGCAAAGTTAGAATATTTTATCATCCATAAGGTACACGTGGTTTAATGAAGCATAGTTGATTCCAAACTGAATATTTCTCCTTCCTTCCAAAATCAAAAGGAGTTGGCTCCACCTTCAAGGTGAATAGTACTGCTTGCAGACTGATTACCTAGATCATCTTAATACAGCTTAGTTGCTACTTGGATCATCCTGCCATATGATTGGACGTTATGCCCCCACCTGCCCATCTCAACTTGATCAGTAGCATTTCCCACAGAATTTGAAAAACTGGATGTCAGCAATTACCTGGCATAGAATAATAGAATAGTAGAGTTGGAAGGGGCCAGGAAGGCCATCAGGTCCAACTGCCTGTTGTTGCAGGACACCAGTTTACACCATCCCAGTTGGATGGCTGTCCAGTTTCTGGTTGAATGTCTGTAGTGTGGGAGAGCCCACCACCTCTCTAGGCAGCTGGTTCCACTGCCGTATTGCTCAGACAATGAAGCTTTTATTGGTATCTAGCCTGCATCTGGGTTGAGTGGATTCTTCTGTGTCTTACACTGGTTTCTTGCTGATCTTGACCTTCCCCTTCTTAAGGTGAAACACGCCAAGTTCTCTCAGTCTCTCATAGCACTGCATTTATGGAATGGCCTCCCAAAAGTAGTTTGCCTGGTGCCACCTTTAGAATCTTTTTGGAGCCAGGCAAAAACCGTCCTCTTCTGCAGACTTCGAACAACTGATGTTATATTTGGATGTTATTTGTACTGTATTTAGCCTTAATATATTTTAACTTACTGATATATGATCTTGGCAGCATTGTTTCAGTGTTTTATTGTAAATAAAACTCTGTTTTATTGTATGTGGATTTTATTATTGTTATTTTATGTAATACTGTAATTCGCTTAAAGAGACTTTAGACTAGTATAGTGGAATATAAATTGAATAAATAAATAAGCAAGCAAGCAAGCAAGCAGTGTTTCCAAATCTTGTATCATTTTTGTTGCCCTCCTCTGGATCCTTTCTAATTTTTTTGCATCTTTGTTAAATCTTGGTGCTCAGAACTGGACACAGTATTCCAGATGAGGTCTGACTAGTGAGGAGTATAGGGGATCTACTACTTGTGATTTTAAATACTTCTGTTAATACATCGCAAAATAGCATCTGCCCTTTTTGCAGCTGCATCACATTGTTGGCTCATATTTAGCCCGTTTTCCACTGTAACTCCTGAATCTTTTTCAGTTCTGTTGAGCCATGTATTCATCATCTTGGCATTTGTTCCTACTGAATTTCATTCTGTTGCTTTCAGCCCAGTGTTCAAGTTTATCAAGATTGCCCTGGTTCTTCATTCTGTCTTCGAGGGTGTTTGCTATTCCATCTAGTTTTGTATCACCTGCAGATCTGCTTATCTTTCCTTGTACTTCTTCATCTAAATCATTGAAAAAGCTGTTGAAGAGCACTGGGCCCAGGACTGAACCCTGCAGCACCCCGCTAGTTACTTCCATCCAGTCCAGTTTTTGCTAATTTGCTTATCAGAATGTCATGGGGTACTATGTCTAAAGTTTTGCTAAAGTTTAGGTAGATTATGTCCACAATGTTTCCTATGTAGCTCTTTGGCTTCTATCGGCTCTTCCCTCTGTTCCCTCTGGCTTATCTCTATGGCTGTTGGCCTTGGAATTTCAGCTGTGAATTTTATACCCTTCATCCCCCACTTCTCAACCAGAATCTGAGTCAACAACTTTTGAAGGCTGTATTACAGGAGGAGGAGTGGGCCCAGTCCCTGTAGTCATCTAGACTAGATTGGAGTAGACCAGAAGAAGTTTGTGGGCAGGAGATAATGTATTTATGTATGTCTGAAGTTAATAGACATTTTTCTTCCCCCACCCCCTGTTAAGAGTATCCCAGAAATTGAAAGTCAACATGTTTGAAACAGGAGGGACTGTCATATGTCTCCTAACTTATAACTGAGTACTTCCTCAGCATTTGTCAGACTTTGTCCCTGAATGTACGCTTGATTTGAGGAAGATGGAGGCACCGGAGGAGAAGTTGTTGAGTCCTTTGATGAGTTGAATACAAAAAGCTTCACAGAGGGTCTGCAGAATGCAATGAGCGTGGGGAACTCAAAATTGATTGGAGGCGTCCTTTGTGAGGACTGCCCAGTGGCTTTACTGTTTGAAAGACTAAAAAATGACTAATGCTGTTGAATGTTTTCAGTGCAGAGTTTTCAGTGCTTAATCATACTACAGCTTTTACATCCTGACCTATTTGGCTCAGTAATACACAGCTGCTAACTCCATGGCATGCCTATAATTAATCTGCTGAAATTTTTATCTAGGTGTTGTGGAAATGCAGACAATTGGCCGGAAGGTTGTACCTGTATGTGCTTGCTGGGGCAGGCTGTCAGAAATGAAAGAGAAATTATCAAAGGATGTGCTATTTGCTCCATTGTATTCTTGTGAACCATTAATTTCTTGAGTTATTAAGCATCATGTAACCTTTCTGCAGTAGATTAGATGTGAACATTCTCTGCTACTGGTAATGCAAAGTTGAACAAGAGATTTTCTTATACCTCTTCTTGATAATAAAAGGCTAGCGTGGTTATTTGAAAATATGGCTAAGTATGGTGTTACAGAGGCATGCATAATGCTCATATATAAGACAGGATTGACACAATTTACTTCTTGAAACAGAAGTTCTTCCAAGAATCCAGTAATGATGCCATATCCAAGAGTAGCCCCTTAAAGGACTGGTACTTGGTCCATCAAGACCCCACTGATCCTCAAATATTTCTACTGGGCTTAAGAATTTAAGAATGTAAGAAGAGCTGGAGTGGATCAAACCTAAGGCTTCTCTTACAGCATTCTTTTCCACTGTGGCTGACCAGATGCCTCTGGAAAGCCCAGAAGCAGGTATTTAGTGGCATGCTGCCTCTGATCCTAGGGATGACATATAACTAATGTGTCTTTTAGCCATTATTTGCCTTATCCACATGTAAACATATGAAGTTGCTTTATACCAGGTTAGATCATGTGTCTGTCTGGCCCAGTATTGTTTCCTCTGGCTGGCAGCAGTTTTCTTACTTTCTAGCACAGGTCTTTTCCATCATTTGCTACCTAATCCTCTTAATTGGAGATGCCAGGGATAGAACCTAGAGTCTTCAGTGTGCTGAACAAGTTACTGAGCTGTCCTTGACCTGTTTCCTCATGTGGACAAACAGTTTATCTTAAGGTGTGCGCTTCCATGGCAAAAACTGCTGTCAGAATTTATTGTATGTGGCTCTAACCAGCAACAATTAGCTTTGTCACAGGGGCTGGAAAAATGGTGCTGGAGGAATGCCACGGATTGCATTAGTGACACATATATTGCCATCCCATTGTAGGGTCATCTGTAGCTGAGGATGGCCCAAAACTGCTTCTGTACAGGAGGAATATCCTGCTAGCTTCAACATGCAGATGGTGTAATCACTGGTTTCGCTGATGTCAGGTTTCTCTGATGTCTTTAACAGCAGTTGAAGACTGAATCTTAAATCCTGCACTGTATATTTTTCTTTCACTTTTTAAAGATGGGGTTTCAGTGTTATATATTAAACACTGTCATACCTTTGCATTTGATTATTAGCTTTATATGAGCACCCAACCCATTTTGTTGCCGGTAATTTTGAAATGTTCCATTGCTTTTAACTGTTGCTCTTTCTGTCAAATCACATCTGTCATTCAGACCAAGAGCAATGATGACCTTTCAGCTGGAATGGCTGGCGGGGTTACTATGAGCAACGGCATCAAGGCAAAGAAAAGTACTTGTACTTCTGCTGCAGGGAACAACATGAACAATCTGGATAATAAATCTAAGTCTGCTACAGGTAAAAGAAATACTGGCTTTGAAAATGTGTTTTCTGCTCTTTCCACGATGAAGGCAGTGGAAAAGGGGAAAAATGCATTGCAAAAGATGTAATGAAGGCAGTGTTAAAAGGGGACCCAAGTACAATTCTGTAAAGGATCTTTTCAGGTTTGCTGCCTATTCCCAGGTTCCCATTATGCTGGATGAAGCATCCCAAGCTCTCAAGACGTCTTTATTGTTCATGAGCAAGCAAGATAGTGCACACTACCCGTTGCTCTCACTTGTCTCCTCTTGCAAGTAGAGGATCTTATCAATATTGGAAGCACTTATTTTTATGTACCCACATTCCTTTTTGTCATTCTTCTAACAAATATGGATCCAGAAGACAATTTCAAACTCTGTCCTGAGGAGGGACAGGCCAGGAGTTCTTGCTCAGATGTAATGATAAACATTTCTACCCTGATAAGTTCCTAGTTACTTAAGGCAGTCAGTTTGGAGGAGAGAAATGGGACCAATTGGGCAACAATTGCTTGCACTTGGATGCTGAATGATTCTGAAGAATTCTGATTGAGCATTTTTTTGCAAATACAGCAGGACCCTTGTACCCTTGTAGATAGGTTCCAAGTCCCCCAGCAGATGCCTGAAACTGCAGATAATAGTGAACACTCTATGTTATTCATACACATTTATTTTTTCACAATTCAGTGGATAAAAGATTTGTACTTAGCATACATCCTAGCAACCTCAGCATACAGTTTTTTTCTTTCCTGATTAAATTGAGAATTTTCACTTAAAGGAAGCACTTTATGGCACTTTACGACTTTTCTTTCAGACTGAGATCAACTGTGTTTAAGTGAAAATGCAGTAGCTGAACCAGCAGATACAGGGGTTCTGTTCTGTGGGCAACAAAATAAAATAACTGAACCAGAAATAAATTTAATGTTTTCCACAATTCATTTAGCTTTAGAATGTGTAAACCCATAATTCTGGAAATCACATTGTCTTGCACAAAACTGTGTACTTAACATACCCATTTATGTTTTTTCTAACCTTTTAAAACAATACAGCTACAAATTCTGCAGCTAAACGTAGCACTTCAGCTGGAAATAAGGAGTCCAGTTCTTCTCGGGAAAGAATTCGTGACCGTTCCCGCCTGGCCCAAAGTAAAAAAACGCCATTAATTGGGCAGACAAACAATGATAAACGCTCCCGTAGCCGTACTAATGCAGACTCTGATGTCCGAATGAGCAAGTCTAAATCAGACAATCAGATCAGTGACAAAGCTGTTCTGGAAGCCAAAGTGAAAGATCTTCTGACTTTAGCCAAAACAAAAGATGTTGAAATCTTACACCTGAGGAATGAACTCCGAGAGATGCGTATTCAGCTAGGCCTGAATGAAGATCAGTTTGAGAAATCTGAGGAAAAGGAAACCATTGCTGTCCACCAGCCAACTGATGTAGAATCCACATTATTGCAGTTGCAAGAGCAAAATACTGCCATTCGTGAGGAGCTCAACCAGCTGAAAAATGAGAATCGGATGTTGAAGGATAGGCTAAATGCATTGGGATTTTCTCTGGAGCAAAGGCTGGATAACTCTGATAAACTGTTTGGCTACCAGTCTTTGAGTCCAGAAATGACAGTTGGAACCCATAGTGATGGTGGTGGTGCTTTTACATCCTCAGTAGAAGGATCTGCTCCTGGTTCAATGGAAGACCTTTTGAGTCAGGATGAGAACACCTTAATGGACAATCAACACAGCAACTCCATGGATAACTTGGATAGTGAGTGTAGTGAAGTTTATCAGCCACTCACTTCAAGTGATGATGCCTTAGATGCGCCATCTTCTTCAGAGTCTGAAGGTGTTCCTAGCATAGAAAGGTCAAGGAAAGGGAGCAGTGGCAATGCCAGCGAAGTATCAGTGGCTTGCCTGACAGAAAGGATACACCAGATGGAAGAGAACCAGCACAGTACAGCTGAAGAACTTCAAGCAACACTTCAGGAACTTGCAGACTTGCAGCAAATTACTCAGGAGCTGAACAGTGAGAATGAAAGACTTGGAGAGGAAAAAGTTATCCTTATGGAATCCTTGTGCCAGCAGAGTGATAAATTGGAACACTTTAGTCGACAAATCGAGTATTTCCGCTCTCTTTTGGATGAGCATTGCATATCCTATGTTATTGATGAAGACATGAAAAGTGGACGCTACATGGAGTTAGAGCAACGGTACATGGACCTTGCAGAGAATGCACGTTTTGAAAGAGAGCAACTTCTTGGTGTCCAACAGCATCTGAGCAACACTTTGAAGATGGCAGAACAAGATAACAAGGAAGCTCAGGAAATGATAGGAGCACTAAAGGAACGGAATCACCATATGGAACGAATTATTGAGTCAGAACAGAAAAGCAAAACCTCTCTAGCAGCCACCTTGGATGAGTACAAAGCCACAGTAGCCAGTGACCAGATTGAGATGAACAGACTAAAAGCCCAGTTGGAGCATGAGAAACAGAAAGTAGCTGAGCTGTATTCCATACACAATTCTAGTGACAAATCAGACATGCAGGACTTGCTGGAGAGTGTCAGGCTTGATAAGGAAAAAGCAGAGACATTAGTCAATGGCCTACAAGAGGAGCTAGCTCACACACGTAATGATGCAAATCGCCTGCAAGACTCCATTGCAAAGGTAAACTTCTAAGCACATATTTAAACCAGGGAATATTCCAAACCTCACCCTTGTGTTCTGCTTCTGCTGAGTGTGTGACAGTGTAGGAGAGGAGGCAGAGATACAAAGAACTGATCCTGAACTGACACTACTTGTGCTGACCACATGATTCCTTCCATGAATCTCTTTGTGAGGGTTAGAATCATAGAAACAGAGCAAGTCAGAAAGGGCTTCCTGGGCCATCTAGTCTAACTCCCGGCTCCAGCTGGCTCCACTCATGACATGCCTACCATGTGCATGTCCAGCCTATCCTTGAACACCCTCACCGATGGGTCTTCAACCACCTTCCATGGAAGCCCATTCCATACCCTTGGGGTCCTAACCATCAGGAAGGACTTCCTGGCATCCAAATTGAACCTTGGTTCCCTGAGCTCAAGCAGGATATCATGGGACACTTTGTCAAAGGCCTTGCTGAAATCCAGGTATACCACATCCACCGTGTCCCCTCCATCTGTCCATCTTGAAACCTTGTCATAGAATTCTACAAGGTTTTTCTGGCAAAACCTGTTTTTGTTGAAGCCATGTTGCATGGCCACCAACCCACCTTCCCTATCTAGTGTTACTAGATCTCTTGCTATTATGAGGCTTTCCATTGTTTTTCCTACAATGGATGTAAGGCTAACTGGTCTGTAATTCCTCATCTCCCCTCTACTACCCTTTTTGAAGATTGGGACCACTGATGCCACCCTCCAGTCCTCTGAAACTTCACCTGTTCTCAACGAGGCCTCAAAAATGGAGGCCAATGGGTACGAGAGAACCCCTGTCAACTCCCTAAGTATCCTTGGGTGCTTTCCCATCAGGGCCTAGTGCCTTTGTAAGTCCAGTGCCCTGAGGAGCTGCTTGACTTCTAGGGGGATAGAATAGGTTGTTAATAGTTAAATTTTAATTAACTATTTAATTGAAGACTAATTCCCTCTGTCAAGTGACTTTTGCTTTAATAAATCAGAACAACAAGGCTTAGTTTTAATGGGAAATCTAAAGTTCCTTACTTGAAATTTAATCCACGGTGTTTCAGCTGTATTTTCTTTAGCCTGCAAATTTTGACTATGCCTTTCAGATGAGATTGACTGGTTTGCTGAATTGTCAGCTTCTTCCTCATTTAACATCCCATGCATGCTACGACAGTCAGCCCACTCATAAATATAGCTTTACAGAACACTGTTCTGCACATACTCAGAAATAAGTCCCACTGAGTTCAGATGGGTAAGTGAGGGTAAATATGAGTGCTCTCTTTGTGTTGCAACTGCTAGATATGTTGAAGAAAATGCAAAGTATAGCTTTCTGTGATTATGTATTTCAGAATAAAATAACTTGGTCCAGGTAAAACCTGGAATATATTTAAGCCTTTCTAACAGAGTTTTTTTGTTGTTTGCTGCATTGTGTTTCAGAACTAGAGGAGGAATCATAGTTGAGCACGTGTTCTGTCAGGTTTGGTCTCCAGTTTAGAAGGTCTTGGACAGTGGTACCTTGGCTCACGAACACCTCAGTTCACTACCAAATCAAGTCACGAACAGAAATTTCATTAAAAATTTGCCGTAGGTTGTGAACTTTGCATCCGGTGAAGATTGCGATCACGCCGTCTTCCCCGCACAGGCGCGATCGCGGTCATGCTGGGCTGGGGTGTGGAGACGGCTGTGATTGTGCTCAGTGGGGGAGATAGCTGCGATCGTGCCCGTCTCCCCCCTGAGCACGCCTGCAATCCCACCCGTCTCCACCCCCGAGCACACGCACGATCATGCCCGTCTTCCCTGTGATTAAAAAAAGTATTTACAGAATGGATGAACCTTATTTACATTGAACCTTATGAGGAAATTTGACTTGGCTCATGACCAATTTGAGTCGTGGAACGGATTAAATTCATGAGACAAGGTACCACTGTATGTGGGGAAACAGCTTCTCATGGCTGAGGCCCTGGAGAGTCACTGCCTGTCCGAGGCAAATATAATACTGGGCTTGACTGAAGAAGGGGATCACATGGCACAAGGCTGTTTTATGCCTAACTGCTCATCTGTTCAACTATAGCTGCAGTGACCTTTTTCTGTGACAGAGTATTTGCATATTGAGGAAGCATTTTAATAATAGCCTAAAATGATATGCTAGTAATACCATTCTGTTTATGAAACTTTACTGAATATGGTAGGTAATACCATTCTATAAAGTTAATTGTACAGCATTTTTTCTCAAATGCAGAGTGATCCTTGGATGAGACAATTAGAAGTTAGACTTTTTCTCCCTAAACTAGATAGAAGATGAATATAGAGCTTTCCAAGAAGAGGCAAAGAAGCAAATTGAGGAACTGAATATGACCTTAGAAAAACTTCGGACAGAGCTGGAGGAAAAAGAAACTGAAAGAAGTGATATGAAGGAAACTATATTTGAATTGGAAGATGAAGTGGAGCAGCATCGAGCTGTGAAACTGCATGATAATCTCATTATATCTGACTTGGAGAGTGAGTTTTGCATCTTTATAAGCTGTTTCAGTTGCTTATTTTGCTTGATTGAAACGTGTGCTTAACTTAAAAGAGTTAAAAGTCGTAAAAGAGCAGTCATGGGCACAGTTTTGCTTACATACTAAAAGTTTTATATACATGTTAAGAGTAATGCATATGCATTGGAAGGGCAGGGAATAATTTTTTGTATAAATAAAACATATGTTCTCTTTTTCCAAAGAAGGGTGTGCTTCACAGTTTGATATGAATAACAGTGGAACAGTATGGGGACATTAGTATGGGAGGACAGGTTATTTGATTGCATTCCACACTTCTCATGAGAAAGCCCTTTAGCATCTTTGACTGCAAGTATCCAGGCTGTCACCCTTGTTCAACATTTATTTGAAGCCCTTGGGTGGGATTATTAGGAGATTTGAAGTAATGTATCTTCCGTGTCCGGATGACATGCATCTTGGTTTCAACTTGTTAGCTGAATTCACTGAGGTACCGGAAGGACAAAAAGATAAAGATCATTTCCAAAAGCATGGGGATGCTGTGGGTGGATGGATACCACGTTCAGGATGATGGTGTTCAGGCTTCCTCAAAGCTGTACTAAATAAACATATCTTAAAGAAACAGTAAATGCCTTTATCAGAGCAGGACGTACATACAGGTCCTTTTATAGAGACCATGGAACACAGTGCGACATGAGCCACAACTTAGCTAAGTGTAAGAGTTGCGGGCAATGAAGCAGGCTCGGGGACGACTATAGCGTAGGTGGAGGAAATCCTGTGCTGAATCTGACCGAATGCAAGCCCATTATTGGGCCTATGCTGTGGTAGTGAGGACAGCGAAGAAGGAATTCTCCACTTCCATTGCATCCTCACAGTGCTGTCCAGCTGAGCTTTGGCTGTGAGACTCGCTGTGACAACTTTGCCCAGCACTTTAGGGATAAATACACTCAGATTTGTCATGAGCTGGACTCCACAGTTGATGCAGTACCTGTATGGGAGGTGTCCAGAGCGCCGTCCAGTCCATCTTTGTTTGATGAATTTCAGTTGTTGTGGCCTGAGGACGTGGACAAAGTGCTTGGACTTGTCTGGCCTACCACTTGTTTACTCAACCCTTGCCCTTCTTGGCTGCTCACCAAAGCCAAGGACAGGATGTATGCCTGGGTCCAGGAGGTAGTTAATACCTCCCTGAGGGAGGGTCGGGTTCCCACCCCCTTGAAGGAGGTGGTGATCAGGCCCATCCTGAAGAGGGTGAACCTGGACCCAGAGCTGGCCTCTAATTATAGACTGGTGGCTAACATCCTGTTCTTGGGCAAGGTGCTTGAGCGGGTGGTGGCCGGGCAACTCCAGGCTCTCTTGAATGAAACTGACCATCTGGACCCGATTCAGTCTGGCTTTAGGCCTGGTTATGGGATAGAAACTGTCTTGGTCACCCTGTATGATGACCTGTACGGGGAGGGGGACACGGGGAGTGAGTCCCTGTTGCTTCTCCTGGACCTCTCAGTGACTTTCGATACCATCAACCATGGTGTCCTTCTGGATAGGCTGACCAGGCTAGGAGTTGGAGGCTCTGCATGGCAGTGCTTCCACTTCTACCTGGCCAGCCGATTCCAGAAGGTGGTGCTGGGGGACTATAGCTCTGTGCCATGGCAGCTTTGCTATGGGGTTCCACAGGGCTTTATTTTGTCCCCCTTGCTCTTCAACATCTACATGAGACCCCTGGGAGAGGTCATCAGGAGGTTTGGGCTGCGAAATCATCATCAGCTCCAGGTGAGGCAGTGGCCGTCCTGAACCAGTGCCTGGCCGAGGTAATGGGCTGGATGAGGGCCAATAAACTGAGACTCAATCCAGATAAGACAGAGGTCCTTTTGTTAGGCGGCTCAGGTTTCCAGGTAAGTGATTTTGGCCCTGTCCTGGATGGGGTAGCTCTCCCTCTAAAGGACAGGGTCCATAGCTTGAGAGTACTCCTCGACCCGGAGCTGTCACTGGAAATCCAGGTGGCACCGGTGGCGAGGAGTGCTTTCCTACAGCTTTGGCTGATCCATCAGCTGCGTCCTTAGCTGGACAAACACTGCCTAGCAATGGTGATTCATGCTCTGGTAACTTCCCGGTTGGATTACTGTAACACACTCTACGTGGGGCTGCCCTTGAAAACGGTCTGGATACTTCAGCTGGTACAGAATAGAACAGCCAGGTTGCTGTTGGGGGCCAGTTGTTACTCTCACATAACGCTGGTCCTCTATCAGCTCCACTGGCTTCTGATTGAAGTCCGGGCCCAATTCAAGGTGCTGGTTTTGACCTATAAAGCCCTGAATGGCTTGGGACCAGGATACCTGAAGGAATGTCTCCTTGTATGCCCTCACGCCCCTTAAGATCTGCAGGAGAGGCCCTGCTCCGAGAACCCTCCCTGAAGGAGGTAAAAAGGATATCTACTCGGAGGAGGGCCTTCTCTGCGGTGGTGCCCAAATTATGGAATGCGCTCCTCAGAGAGGTGTGCCTGGCGCCGAGTTTATATTCTTTTCAGCACCAGGTTAAAACCTTTTTATCTAACTGTTATTTTAAAAACTAATTTAAAAATTAAACGTTTATCAGTCACTTTTATTTAATTTTTTTTAATTGTATTTTTGTGGTTGTTATTTTTTGCTGTTTTATTGTTGTTGTTTTAATGATTGTAAGCCATCCCGAGATGCCATGCATAAGGGATGGCATACAAAAGTTTTTAATAAATAAAGATTAATCAAACCTGCAAAAGTTAAACCTACAAAAGTTGAGGTTCAAATGTAGTAAAGAATAGAACAATAAACAGTTAATGGGAGCAGTTTGTTTAGACTGTATTTCAGTTTTTAGGATTTCCTGTCTATATCTGAATACAATTCAGTACTTAAATCCCTAAACAGCTTGAGGCGCAGAATCTTTAACAAGCATCTTCTCCCACATCAACTTGTCTATGCCATTGGAACATCTCTTGAGGCCATTCTCTGATTGCCACACTTGTTGAAGCGATCTAGGTGTCAACTGGGGTAAAGACCTAAAGTGCAGGGTTCTGCTGCTTTCTTTTAAGATAAAGTTAACTTTAAAAGAATTTAAGAATGGAGCAGCATTTTTTCCCCTTCACAGGTAGTTAGCTTAACCGTCAAATAATAGTAGCTGTTTTGTAAAGTTCTTCATCAGAGGTTTTGTGAGACAGTTGCGTTTTATAGCAAGCAGAAGCAGTGAGGAGAAAGGACAGGCAGAGTTAACCGCATGTTTTATTCCTAGTAAACGAAATGAATAGATGCCAGCTCTTAGGAGGAGTGCAGCATGAACTGTGAGACAGCCTGACATGTATTCCCAGTGTTTTCAATAGTTCCTGTTTGAACAGCTACTGACATAATAGGTTCCAATCTGCTTTTCATTGGATTAAAATTATAGACAAGCCCTTACCTAATAATTTAAGAGAGAGCCAGTGTGGTGTGAAAGTGGTTAAGAGCTCAGGACTAGGACAGTCTGGGACTGGGACTCAGCAATGGCGTTCACTGCATGATTTTGGGCCAGTTACAGACTCAGCTCAACCCACTTCACAGGGTGACTGTTGTGGGGATAAGATTGAAAGCAGGGAGGTGAATGATGCAAGCCATTTTGAATTCTTTAAAAGAAAGAAGGCGGGATATAAATCTAATAAATAAATAATTTGAAATGAAGCAGGGACTTCAGTAGGCACTGGAAGGTTTATGAAGTGATAGTTGCTTAGGAATGGGCAAACTAGTGTTCAGGGTTGAAAGTGGAACATCATCTATTTTTTTTCTTTTAAAAAAAAACAAGTATTTTATTTGAAAAAATAAGGTGACAATGGTATAACAACATACATACAGAGAGCTTGATGAACATTATTAACCTCAAGTTGTATATATAATTTAGGTTGTTTCTCCAAGCATGTGCTTGTAGTATACATTTTAATTTCTGCTGTTGCCCTGAAAGAAGAGAAAACATTTTGCTCCGGGAGGCCTGCACTTACCTTGTATTTCTGTGAGGCTGGCAGTTTTTATCATTTCCACTTCTGCTGCCTTTAGTGATGGAAAAAGGAGAAATCTGATATTATGGTTTATCAGAGAGAAGTTCTGTGGCTACCCATCTTAGAATGTAGTCAGTTTGGTGACATAACCAGTTTAAGTTGAAAGGAGTCATAATAAGATTTTAAATTAGGAAAATCACTTTTTGTTTGTATAGTATATTTTTACTTACGTGTGATTTTTGACCCTCAATACTAAATGTTTCCATAAATTTCTGCCACTTTTTAAAGAATGTAGGCGTGTTTACAGTTGCCAAACACTGAACTAAAGAATCAGAACCTAAAGAAAGACATTGTCTCAATGGCAGCCGTTCTTCCGAGCCTGGAAATTTTTAGCTGTTTCTGTGAGTTGACCTCAGCCTTAAGGATTTACACAAGGAATAAAAGTTTTGTTTTTTATCATTTGAAATTATTATGTCTAAATATTTAAAGCTGGATGCTTGCAGAGTCAATTTTTGCAGCAACTTTTCCATCATGTTTAAACATATCAACTCAGATTTTTTAGTTTATTTCTTTTCTATACCACCCCAAAGCCAAAGCTCTGTTTTAGGCAATTTATTTGTAATCTTGCTATTATGTTCAGATAATTTTAATCTAGGATCTGGAATAGTATTCTTCAGATTTGAGAGCATCAGCAGGATATATAATCTGCACTGAAGATTATAGCCATGGTTATGTTTATGTTTAGGGTCACTTTACTTTATTGATTTGGACCCTGAATCTTCTTAACATTGCAGGTTGTCACTGTCAGTGTTTTTATCACTATAGCAAACCAAAGAGAAGAAAATGGGCATTCGTGTTTTGTTCCATTGAAAGAGGTGGAGCCTGTGGCATTTGTTCAGAAGGTAGATATAGATTGTGTAGAACCCAGTGCATACATTTAAAGCCAAATTCTAAAGTTTGTACTGTCTTGATCCAATCTGTCCAAAGCCTTAAAGGCAACTGAACAATGCAAAGCAACTGGGATTCAACTAGTAACACAGTGATGTATTATATTCTGTACACTATGAATAGAATCAGCTAAATTCCTTTCAAGCACAAATCTTACCTGGTCTGTTTTGACTTAAGTTGTTATGAAATTATTGAGTTCTTTGGCCATAATTGTTGTCAGTATCTGAGCATTTTGATTAAGAAGTGCAGTGTGACTCTATGACCTTCAGAACTTCAATCCTTCCTTGTTTAGGGGTAACTGCCAGTCTGGATTGTTGCCAGGTAAAAGGTATAGAGTCACCACCCAGAATAGCACTAAGCAGGTGTTGCAACTGTGGAGTCAGTACTTCTGTGAAATTCCTGTAGAAATCATTTGTAAATCCATCCCGCCCTTTTCCGATGTCTTAATTTGGTTATCACAATTTGTATCTCTCTATCTGTGATGAGTGGGTTTTTAAAATTTCTGTCACTCTCAGAAGTTGGCTTCATCCTTAATTTATCTAAAAATGAATTGATTGATTTATGATCAAGATCACTTGTACCATATGTACATTTTCACACAATTAATGAGAAATTTCATTTCTCTCTTCTGGATTGTGTGTTTCCCCATTCCTTTTTTTTAATAGTTGTGTAGCTCCACTTTTTTTGTAAGGCTTTTGCCAGTAATTCTGAATTGTTTTCCAAGTCACCATAATCCTTGTTTGCAAACATCATGGCTGCCTGAACTTCTCCTGTCTGTGTTCCTTACTACACTGCTCTTTGACTAGGGATAATTGTAACCTGTTAATTTATGTTTGCTCCCTAATTTTGCTGTATCATCCAGGAAAATGGCAGTGGGGTTTCATGGCTTTTCTTTTAAGTTACTTGCCTCACTTTTCTGTGTTACCTGAATCACTGCTTTCATATCACGTTTTACTGTTTTCTTCATCCTAGAGCCTTTGTTTGTGGAAAGATATTTTTATTTTATTTGTTTGTGTCTTGGGAAGCATTCAGTCTCTGCAATTGTGTCAGAGGGGAGGGGAACATCAGCCCCCCCCCCACTCCAATGGTTCCATCACCACGAAAAGTCTTAGTCAGTAGTGCAACACCTTTAGTACAATACTTGATAAAGAAACAGCAGGGCCACCTGGGCACTTCTTCTGGAGGCTTAGCTGAAAAGGCACTCTCTGTAACTTCAGGCATGCTCCTGACTGCCCCGGCTAAGGCAGGGAGCGCATCTTCCCCACTGCCCACCAATGCTCCCAGGGGCCACAATCGGCTTCTCCAGTGCCCCAGCTTCACGTTGGCAATCCCCTTCTCTGCTGGCCCCTTCCCATGCGCGTGCACAGTGGGGCAGTTCTCTCCCCTTCACCATCTCTCGGCAGGCTGTTCCTTCCCAGGGAGGGAAAGGTGAGCTGTGTCCACCCTTAGACCCCTGCCTCTGCCCCAGACTATAGGGGTCAAGCTCCTTGCCTGCCCCCGAGTCCCCTTCTCCTACCACCTCTGTCTTCCTGCTACCATTTTCCTCTCTCCCCACATGTCATGTCTGCCTTTCCTTGCTCTCCTCTTTATCCCTCTGGCACCGCACCGCCTCCGCCCTCTCCTCCAGGTGTTTCCTCCTCAGGGAAAGCACCTGCACACCTGGGTTCTCTGTGTTGGGCTGTGAGCACACCTTCTCTGCCCAACACTCCATTGCCAGAGGTTTTGCAGACCCAGGAGCCGGCTTCATTGTCTCTGTGCTCCCCACAGAGCTACCGGGTAGGAGTTGGTGAGCCTCGCTGACCCTTCACAGTCTCCTAGTAGCAAGGCCACTTTATGGTTCCACAAGGGCTCTCTATTTGAAGACTGACTGAGTGTGATCTGATGCTGTTATGATACTGATGTCAGCTCCAGTGTCCATCAGTACCATACCATTGGAAATTAATATGCAGTCCGTTTGAGAAAAGGCTCTGTGCTAAGCCAAACAAGAAGTGCCATCTTTTTCTGTCCCTTTAGGGCTCCTCCAAGAATCTATCCAGTCATGTGAATTAATTAGATTTAATAGGTGATGGAAAGTCTTAGTGTATTTGAACACAGAAGAGTTCTTGCCTGATTTCTTATCAAACACCATATTGCAATCTTCTCCTGTTACCACAATTCCCTGTTTTGAATTGAATTGAATTGAATAAAGCTCTGTTCTGAGTTTTATTACTGCCCCCATTTGACAACTGTGAGATCAACGTGGCATATTGATAAGAGTATTGGACTGGATTTGTGTGATCTGTGTTCTAGTCCTTGCTTGACCATGAAGCTTACTGACTTTGAACAAGTTGCTGACTCTCAGTCTATCCTACCTCACAGGCTGAAGGATTATGTTAGCTGCCTTACCCTCTTTACAGGAAAAAAGACAGGAAATAAATGTGATCAATTAATAAATTCTCTGGGTGATTCACAAAAGTTAAAACCCTAAAATGTGACATGATAAAGCATAACATAAACTCTTTAAATCCTTTAAACAGAATAAAGTTAGAAATAAAACAAGGAGCAGGGGAAGATCTAAAACACAACGTGTTTACAAAGAAAACGAAAGGACTAAAAAGCCTGGGAACTTTACGTAGAAGCCCACAATATAGGCACCAGGAAAGCCTCTCTTGGAGAGGGCATTCCAGAACCAGGATACCAACACTGAAAAATTGTTTTTCTGTCCTTACTAATCTCACCTCATACGACAGTGTTAGATAAAATGGAGCCTGAGAAAAAAATGACCAGGCAGGCTGGGCTAGGCTACTTGTTGATCATATAAGGAAACATGGGCACTTGACCACTTATCGACTGATAATTGCCACAGAAGGGTAGTGACCATTTGGGATAGGTTCACAACTGCTGTGGAAAGGTAGTGACTGCAGCTGATCACCAAGGTATACAAACATATTGTACTGCGTCATTAGGTGCAGACCCTCCTTCTGGCATGAGCCATAGTGGTTTCACCCCTCAGCTGAATCCTGTTAATAGTCTATTTGTGCCTACATTGTGTCTCCACTTCCCTCTTGAAAGGACTGAATTTGTGCAAGTTCCCTCAGGAGAAGAACCTCAGGGTTGAATTTACCCAACAACTGGCGAGCCAGCCAGGAGGTCCCTGAGACCACAGGGATAGGGTCTCTGAAGGTGGTTTTCAGAGCTATATGGGAGGTTATGGTCCTTCAGGTTACCTGGTCCCAGGGCTTTAAAAGTTAATACCAGCAATCTGAATTGGGACCAAAAACAGATCAAAAGCCAGTGTGAAGCATCAAGCATGGGTGTAATATAATCATACTGCCCATATCCCATTAACAGTATTGTTGCCCTACTTTGGAATAGCTGAAGCAGCCCCACATATAATGCATTGCAGTAACCAAAATATGTACCTAGTATGTATTGCCTTGTGAGTTCAGTTTGTGGTAACTGCAACTATTGCTGATTACAAGTACCTTTTGTTTGAGAGATGTAGTGCCGGCATAGTGGTCTCTAGAGAGCCCAGGCTAATGTTCATCCTTTCCATGGTTTACAGCACTGACTGCACCCTTTCATTTTGCTCTTTGAGTACCGTGCTCTAGAAATAGCATTGTGCTAAGAGCCAAGCACCAGTAAAATACTTCTCAAAGTCCAACATACTAATAAGGATCTCATTCTCTGAATGCCAATATTTATGTAGCCAAAGGCATCACACAGGGAGGTATCAGGAAACTTGGAGGAATCGCAAGGTTTGGGAAAGTGCCAAAAATTTAAAAAAAAAAAAAACCTTACGGAAAAGATCCTGGGGGGAAGAACACTCAGGCAACCAGATGAAAACTGAGAATGTTATGTGGTTACAGAACAACTAAGTGTCAGGAGAGCTGGAAGTGCTGGGTTTACACACAATCCTGTTATTCCTCCCCATGCAGGCCTTTGGGTGTACTTGTAAAAAAGACTAAAATATTTTACCTTTATAAACCATGTTATGTGTATAAATCTTTTTTTGCTAGATACTGTTAAAAAGCTTCAAGACCAAAAGCATGACATGGAAAGGGAGATTAAGACTCTGCACAGGCGACTCAGGGTAGGTAACCCAACTTGATACATAATGACCTGGCTTACAGGACCTTACAGTCAACCGTGGCTTAATTTACCTGTCGGGTTGTCATGGTATGCCAGTTGCTCATGAACACAATTTTTGCAAGGCACCTACAGATACCTGGCTTGTCATGCCACATGAACTCCCGTGCAAGGGTTCTTGAGCATGTTTGTGGCAAGGAGAAGGGGCAGTGAGGGAGAATAAGAGTGTGCCTGGGGATCCCATATCTGCGCCTCTGGACTTCCTTGCAGCTGATTTAAATGTCATCTAAATAGTCCATTTTTATTTCGCCTTCTATCATGGAATTAAAGCAGATGAATTTCTTTTTCAGGTTCTTCTTATATTCTCTTTATTTTCAGGAGGAATCTGCAGAATGGCGGCAGTTCCAAGCTGATTTGCAGACAGCTGTGGTCATAGCAAATGATATAAAATCTGAGGCCCAGGAAGAAATTGGAGACTTAAAGCGCAGACTGCATGAAACTCAAGAGAAGAATGAGAAACTCACAAAAGAATTGGAAGAAATAAAATCACGCAAGTATGTGAATGAAAATTTGATTACTTCTTAATATACTACCAAATTTAATTCTTTCAGGACATGATCCCATCAGGATGCCTGTTGCTCTCCAGACTTGGAGGATTATGGGCATCCTGTGCAGGGCAGGAGGAGCACAGAGGGGAAAGAATCTCCCCCCTCAGGTCCCTTTGGAGCGCCTTTGTAGTCCCAGAATCATAGCTGGCCCTGTCCTTTCAGTGCGAGCTGGGAGGGGAGGGGAGGGGATCTGAGGTCCATTCTGTAGTTACAAGGCAGAGCAATTTTTACAGCCATAAAATTGTTCTGCATAGTTCTGAAGCCTGGACAGCAAGAAATGACAATTTTCATATAATGTTTCTGTTACCAAAAATACTTATTTCTTAAGCACCCCCCAACAGTTGTATACACAGAAGTTACTAACCCTATGGATACTTCTCAGAGGAGAATTGGAAAAGAGTCAGTTTTATGCCAGCCTCCTTTCTCTCGCCTTAGTGCCTTCCAGAGACCACCTGTGCTGTCCTCCCTGCCTGATAGGAAGCAGTTGGGTTTTTTAATGTAGGAAACTGGAGGGGGTTCACTAGAAGGGCACTTCTTCCCTGGGACTACATTTTTTCCCTGCCTCCACAGTGAAAGCAACTTGTTGGGCAGGTCTGCCTTTGAGATCAGAAGGAAGATGAAATGAAGAAGAAAGCATTAACAGGAAAGGGGGGCTTACCTCAAGGGCTTCTTGTATTTATAGACCCTTTAGGGTTAAGTTCCTTACTTTGAGAAATGGCATTTTTAAGAAACCAGCAAAAGCATAACTGAAATAGAGAATCAAAGTGACTACCAGTACAGGCTAAGGCTTCACTTCAACTCTATACAGTGGTACCTTGGCTCACGAACTTAATTTTTATTTATTTATTTGATTTATATCCTGCCTTTTTCCTACAAAGGGCTCAAGGCAGCTTACATCTCCTCCTCCATCTTATCCGCACAACAACCCTGTGAGGTAGGTTGGGCTGAGAGTCTGTGACTGGCCCAGAGTCACCCAGTTGGCTCCATGGCTGAGCGGGGACTCAAACCCGGATCGCCTGAGTCCCAGCCCCGTGCTCTTCACCACTGTGCCGCACTGTTCCAGGACTCTGGTTGTGACCCAAATTGGTCGTGAGCCAAGTCAAATTTCCCCGTAAGGTTCAGTGTAAATAAGGTTAATCCGTTCTACAACTATTTTTTTTTACTCACAAAATGTGAAGCAAAGTAACAAACAACAAAGATCGTGACCATCTCCCCACACAACGATTGTGCGGGTGCGCTGAGGAGGAGGCGGGCATGAGCACGCTTGGGCAGGGAACATGGGTTTAATCGCGGCCATCTCCCCCTCCCCCCCCGCCACAGCACGACCGCAATCACGCTTGTGCAGGGAAGGCAGACGCGCTCGTGATCGTCACCCGATGCAGAGTTCGCGACCTGCAGCAAATTTTTTATGAAATTTCTGTTTGCAACCCAAATTGGTCATGAACTGAGGTGTTCATGAGCCGAGATATCACTGTGAATAGTGAAAATTTATACCTAACTTTGTCTAGGAAACATTTCTAGGAGCAGTGGAAACATTTTCCTGGCAAACATAGATTAATTTGTTGCATCTCTACTTGACCCAGGGCAATATTTTTTAGGTGTGCAGAGCACAATTCATTCTTGTTTGTGGTCTCTGTGCATCACACATGAGCCCTGTGTCTGCAGGGGGCCCCGTTGTTAGGAAGATTCCATAGCTAAGCATGCTTCCCTGCCATACCTGCTACACTTAGGAGGAGTTTCCACACATTCCCTCACTTCATCTCCAGTCTCTACTGTGGAGGCTTCAGGAGGGTCTTTCTCTGTGAACCCTGGGAATTCAGTAGCGGCAGTCTGGGTTTTGACAGGGTTTTGACAGGGAAAGAGACCTTACAGTGGGAGTATGTTATCACCCTCCAGGTCAACTTGAACCCTGGATGATGTCCTGACAGGCCCGATTCTAAGGATATCTTGAGGGAGAGACACAGTAATTATGGGAGATTTCAGTCTCCCGGATATTACTTGGGAGACTCACTCAACGGTGACAGCCAGGTCACGTCATTTCCTAGAAGCTATAGAAGGAGGGTTTTTCACGCAGAGGGTCCGAGAGGCGACAAGTGGGGGAAACATCCTTGACTTGGTCTTGACCAATAGAGAGGAGCTGATAGATGAAGTACAGATTGGGAGCTCTGGATGCGAGTGATCACTCCATCCTTTGCTTTGAGATCAGGGGACTGGGGACGTGTAGCAGGTCGAGCACTAGAAACTGGGACTTCAAGAGGGCCACCTTTGGCCAACTGAAGGCCAGACTGGGGAAAGTCTTCTGGGATAGGTGACTGGAAGGTAAGCGAGTTGAGGAGGGGTGGATGGCACTCAAAAGGAGGTTTTGGAGGTGCAAGCCTTGACGATACCTCTAGTCAGTAAGGTGGGGAGGAGAGTGCCACCATGGATGCGAAAGGAGGTGGTTAGAGGGATTAGACGAAAGAGGAACCTCCGTAGGAAATGGGTACTGGGGCAAATAGACAAAAGGGTACTGGGGCAAATAGACAAAACATAGAAATGTTTTAATTAATTAATTAATTAATTAAATAAAGGGTATACCAGGAGGAGGAGACCCGTTGCAGAAGGATTCTTCGCAAGGCTAAGGCTGATTATGAGCTGAGACTTGCCAAGAATATCAAGAGCAACAAAAGAGGCTTCTTTCAGCATGTAAATAGGAGGAGGAAGGGGAGACAAGTGGTGGGACCACTAAATAAGGATGAAAGAGATCCGGTGACTGATATGAGGGAACAGGCACAGATGCTAAATGACTATTTTGCCAAAAAAAATGATGTCCTTATCATCATGGGGGATTGGAATGCTAAAGTAGGAAGCCAGAAGACAACTGGAATAACAGGCAAGTTTGGCCTTGGAGTACAAAATGAAGCAGAGCACAGGCTGGTAGAATTTTGGCAAGAGAATACGATGGTCATAGCAAATACTCTTTTCCAACAACCCAAGAGACGACTCTACACATGGACATCACCAGATGGTCAACACAGAAATCAGATTGACTATGTGCTCTGCAGCCAAAGATGGAGAAGCTCTATACAGTCAGTTAAAACAAGACCAGGAGCTGACTGTGGCTCAGATCATGAGCTTCTTGTTGCAAAATTTAGGTTTAAATTGAAGAAAGTAGGGAAAAGCACTAGGCCACTCAGGTATGACCTAAATCATATTCCTGATGAATATAACGTAGTGCTGACAAATAGATTTAAGGAATTAGATGTGATAGACAGAGTGCCTGAAGAAGTGTGGATGGAAGTTCACAACAGTGTATAAGAGGTAACAACTAAAACCATCCCAAAGAAAAAGAAATCCAAGAAAGCAAAATGGCTGACTGAGAAAGCTTTACAAACAGCTGAGGAAAGAAGGGAAGCGAAAGTCAAGGGAGGAAGATTAAAGATAGATTAAAAATAGGTGGCAAGATTACACAGAAGAACTATGCAAGAAAGAGCTTAACGTCCCTGATAACCACAATGGGGTGGTCACTGAGCTCGAGCCAGACATCCCGGAATGTGAAGTCAAATGGGCTTTAGGAAGTCTGAGCAACAGCAAAGCTAGTGGAGGTGACAGTATTCAAGCTGAGCTACTCAAAATCTTAAAAGATGATGCAGTAAAATTGCTACACTCAATATGCCAGCAAATTTGGAAAACTCAACAGTGAGCACAGGATTAGAAAAGGTCAGTTTACATTCCAGTCTCAAAAAAGGGCAATGCCAAAGAATGTTCAAACTGCCACACCATTGCACTCATTTCACATGCTAGCAAAGTTAAGCTCAAAATCCTGCAAGTTTGGCTCCAGCAGTATGTGGACCGAGAACTACCTGAAGTACAGGCAGGATTTCGAAGAGGGAGAGGAACTAGAGATCAAATTGCCAACATACTGTGGATCATGAAGAAAGCTAGAGAGTTTCAGAAAAACATCTATTTCTGCTTCATTGACTATGCTGAAGCCTTTGATTGTATGGAACACAACAAATAGTGCCAAGTTCTTAAAGAGATGGGAATACCAGGCCATCTTATTGGTCTCTTGAGAAACCTGTTTGTGGGTCAAGAAGCAGCAGTGAGAACTGGACATGGAACCACTGATTGGTTCAAAATTGAGAAAGGAGTTCTGCAAGGCTGTATACTGTCACCCTGCCTATATAACTTATATGCAGAGCACATCATGAGAAAGGTGGGGCTAGATGAATCACAAGCTGGAATTGAGTTTGCCGGAGAAATATCAACTACCTCAGATATGCAGATGATACCACTCTAATGGCAGAAAGTGAAGAGGAACTAAAGAGCCTCTTGATGCGGTGAAGGAGGAGAGTGCAAAAGTTGGCTTGAAACTCAACATGAAGAAACTAAGATCATGGAATCTGGTCCTCTCACTTCCTGGCAAAGAGATGGGAAAGAAATGCAGGTAGTGACAGATTTTATTTTCCTGTGCTCCAAGATCACCACAGATGGTGACTGCAGCCAAGAAATTAAAGGACACTTGCTCCTTGGGAGGAAAGCTATGGCAAATCTAGACAGCATGCTAAAAAGCAGAGACATCACCCTGCCAACAAAAGTGCATATAGTCAAGGCTATGGTTTTGCCAGTTGCAATGTATGGCTGTGAAAGCTGGACCATAAGGAAGGCTGAGCACCAAAGGACTGAGGCCTTTGAATTGTGGTGCTGGCAGAGACTCCTGCGAGTCCCTTGGACTGAAAGGTGATCAAACCAGTCAGGCCTAGAGGAGATCAACCCTGACTGCTCTTTGGAAGGCCAAATCCTGAAGATGAAACTCAAATACTCTGGCCACCTAATGAGAAGGAAGGACTCCTTGGAGAAGAGCCTAATGCTGGGAACAATTGAAGGCAAAAGAGGAAGGGGACAGCAGAGAATGAGGTGGCTAGATGGAGTCCCTGAAGCAGTGGGTGTGAGTTTAAGTGGACTCTGGGGGATGGTGGAGGACAGGAAGGCCTGGAGGAATGTTGTCCATGGCGTCATGATGGGTCGGACATGACTTTGCAACTAACAACAACAACAATTAGTGGTGGTATTCCCAGGACCAGGACCTTGCCTACAGCCCTCAGTATCAAGACACCTCTTATCTGGAGTAATGAAGAACTGAATGAGACTGTCTCGTTGTGAAAATGCCCATTGTTCCACTGTCACTGCTACTAGTACTGTGCTTACACTGGGCTGCCTACTCAGAACCAGCGGGCACTGATGCTAGATAGAGAAGGGAGGCTGGCAGCCACACAACACGGCTTCCGCAAAAACAGGTCCTGCCAGATGAACCTTGTGGAATTCTATGACAAGGTTTCGAGGTGGCTAGATGGAGGGGATGCAGTGGATGTGGTTTACCTGGATTTCAGCAGGGCCTTTGACAAAGTGCCCCATGATATCCTGGTGGAGAAACTGAGGAGTTTTGGGATACACCAAGACACTGTCCGGTGGATTAGGGCATGGTTGACTGACCAAAAGCACAGGGTAACCATTAGTGGGGAATCATAGGGATGGCGGCCAGTGACAAGCGGGGTCC